ATGTTTAACCCGGACAAGTGCACAATAGGGGTAACGGAAATTTCTTTTTTGGGTGACGTAATATCGGCGCAAGGAATACGCCCGAGCCCTGCATCTGTTTATTCGGTACTATGAATACCGCCCCCAACCGATAAGCAGGTCGTACAAAGAATGGTAGGAGTTGTTAACTACTTTGCGAAGTTTATACCAGCGTTGGCCAAAAAAACAAAACACTTCCCGGAGCTAATGAAAAAGGACAATGTCTTTGAGTGGACTGCCAACCTCGCGAAAGAATGGGATCTCGTGTGTAGCGCGCTGAGTGAGCAGCCCATTTTAGCTATCTTCAACCCCAATCGAGACAGGAAGATAAGCTCAGATGCATCGCAAGACGGCATCGGCTCGGCCCTACTGCAACGGCACGGGGACGGGCGGGAACCGGTTGCTTATGCGTCACAGGTACTGACGAGTGTTCAGAAACGATATTCCCAGATTAAAAAGGAAACCATGGCAGTGGTATACGGATGAGAGAAATTCCACCATTTTGTGTACGGCTGCAAAGTGTTGCTTGAAACGGACCACCGCCCACTAATAGAAATAACTCGGAAAGCGATTGGGGACATGCCGCCAAGGTTGCAATGTTTCTTTCTTCGTGTACTCAAATACGATTTCACCCTGGAGTTTGTGCCCCGAAAGTCCTTGCTATTGGCTGATATGCTGTCACGAGTGCCCGTTGGCCAGCCCCGAAAGGACGACGCGGAGCAGGATGTCGAAGTTCATGCTGTAAGTAGCATTTCAGCACTTGTAAGCGAGGCAACATGGCGCAACCTGATACAAGGTACAAGCGAGGACGGCTACTTGAAAAATGTCATCGAATGTCTTCAGACCAACAAACCCGTTACAGGCCGGTTAAAACCGTTTGCAGCGGAGCTGTCAACAGTTAACGCCGTGCTTTTGAAGGGATACAAGGTTGTTATCCCAGCCAGTATGCGCACCGACATTTTGCACAGAAATCACGATGGCCATTTGGGAATAAATAAATGCAAGGCACGGGCCCGCCGTTTAGTTTTTTGGCCAGGCCTCCGGACGAACATTCATAGCCTCGTCAGGAAATGCGCAGTGTGTCAGACACATGTGCATAAATAACAAAGTGAGCCACTTTTGATTCGTCCCATGCCCGAACATGCCTGGCGTAGAGTAGGGGTGGACATCTTGGACAACGGTGGCAAAGCGTACCTATGCGTGTATGACGCATTTTCGAATTTTGCAGAGGTGGAATTGCTCCGTGACACATGCGCAGCAATAGTCATTGAGAAGCTCAGCGCTATGTTTGCCAGATACGGGATACCAGTGGAGGTATGCACTGATAATGGACCGCAGTGCACCAGTCGGGAATTTACGCTCTTCTCAAAGAGATATGATTTCACACATACCACCTCTAGCTCCCGGTTTCCTCGGTCCAATGGCCTTGCAGAAAAGGTCGTGCAGGTAGTTAAGCGGATTATAAAGGAAACTACTGAAGGCAGCTATGACTTCTGGCTGGGATTGCTCAGTTACAGATCCAGTCCTTTGGAAGATGGCAATTCGCCCGGCGAGCTACTCCAAGGCCAACGGCTCCGGACCCCTCTGCCCGACTTCAGTGAACAGCCTCGCATTACTGTCCAAAAACATCAACAACAAGAACAGCCCAGACGTTCCCTAGTGCCCTTAGGAAAGGGGGAAGGAGTTAGAATTCGTGATGGCACGTGGGCAGGGAAAGCAAAAGTAATCCGTGCTGTGCAGCCTCGGTCGTACCGTGTCGTCACCGAGGACGGAAAAGTTCTTCGCCGAAATCGGCAACATCTGCTGAAGATAAAAGAACCTTTCGTTCCTGACACGTCCGATGATGACGACTCCGACGACGAAGCGGGCGACGACCTGATACCAACGTAGCCACACTACACCACAGCAGGTTCAACAGTGGAAGTGCCGCTACCAGCGAGCGCACCGGTCAGAAGATTAACGCGCCCACAAAGACCCCCTCAACGCCTCGCTTATGATAAACACTTCAATCGGTGCTCTTGAAAGTGATCAAGTGTGTTCTTGTGCATGTACGTTATTACTTTGTTTACTTGGAGGTGTGACATGAGATCTTCGATTGGTGCTCTTGAAAGTAATCAAGCGTGTTGCTGTGCATGGGCGGTTTAGCTTTGTCTACTGAGGGGAAGATGTATCGTGTGTGGTAGCCGCGGCAAGCGCGTCAGCCCACCTGCGCATGTGGAATGTTCTTGTCATTGCAGCGGCGCATGCTCGCTGTGTGCATTCACCTTTCCTGCGCACTCCGCCCTTTCCCAATGTATGGCATAAAACTGTCCACCGAATAAACCGAGGGGTCCTTCTCGTCAAGGCTTGGCTTCACTATCAGCGGCGGTCGCGCAAACACGAAACAGGAAGGTTCTGCTCATCAGCGCATCGGACCTTGTGACGAAGACCACCGTGGGAGAAATCCTTGCACTGGTAATTAAACATGTCATACTTAAAACATTGGGCCCCCCAGCCATGCACCTCGCAGCTATGCTTTCTGCAATCGTGGTTAGGCTTAACTCCGCCCCGAACTTGGTGGGCAAGACGTCGCGTCGCTCCAGTGGGTGTGCGAAAACAAAGAAGCCGTAATGTGCTTCTTCGCAAGCAACGAATCACATCAGCCACTGGCTCCTTAGTACCGCGAATGCGCATCTTGTGCATCGGTAGCGGACTACCACCAAGCTTGTCACGCACCGGTCGCACGGAACAGGGGTGGCAGCAGCCAGCAGTTTATGTCAGCGCCCAACATGCAAAAGCAAGCAGGCTGCGCGTTGATTTTTATAGCTTGGCCTAATTAATTATTGACACACCCGTGATAGGTGACCTTCGTTCGTAAATCCGTACGCCGATATCCACAGAGATATTCCCATCCCGAAAGTATGCCAAGTGATGTTTGAAATCTAAAGTTATTGTATTTGGGATGTCCGTGGTAGAAAAGTACGCTGTAAGGGAGTCCCGACTACCTTATGGTCTCACATTTTAGTCGATGATATCAGACTGTCAGTTGTACCAGAACCCGTAGTAAATGAAGCTCAGTCAATGAACAAATAGGTGGGTTGGCATAATGATGCTAATTGGTATGTAGTATCCAAAGGTTGTTGTAAGCAAATCTGTTGTAACTTCATATTTGAAATCAGTATAAAATCCTATACAGCTGAACCCCTTCATAAGAGGCATGCTCCGCGCAATTCTTGTCTCTTACCGTATTTACTCACATAATCCTCGCACTTTTTTTGCCGGAAAACCGATGAAAAGTTTGGGGGTGCGAGAATTACGCGGGGAAAACTTTCTACAAAAACGTACAGAGCGAAAAAGGAAACGAAGTGGCCGCAAATCGGGATTCTCACACCAGCAACTAAAAGCAAGCTTTAAGAAGTACTAATTAAAACTTATCTCAACAATAAAAGCAGAGGTTAAACACAAGACAAGATTTAATTGAGACACAAAAAGTGGAAGCAAATAGTCGTGAATTGGAATACCATACGCAAAGCTTGCGGACGTTGGGGGCGTAGCGGTAGCGTTCGTCGCTCAACAGAAACCCTCAAAAGGTAAGTGTGGGACGTAAGTATTGGGCTGATGGCTATTTAACAGAATTGTCTGCAGTTTCCTTCTTAAAAAAAATAAAGTTTACCTTCAATACCAGTTTTAAGCACACGGCAGGCCCAACGAGTCTTGGTGGCTTTCAGCAGCCATTACCAGTAGCGAACACAAAACTCATAGACTCCAAAGGGCCTACCGGCGGCCCTGTTGCCATTCTTTAGTGCATTGTCTATCACTTGAAAATTGAAAGCAGCCGTACAGTTTCAGTATCGCCTCATAACTTGACAAGGTTATCGACGCAACATACAAAACACGCCGCAACGCGCACTGGCCACTTCGGCTTGGCTTGAGTCAGATTGAACCTCTGTGCAATAGTACGCTTGATGCTTAAGAGATGGCGCCAGATGGCGTGTGCTATCATCATCAGTGGCTGGAAAGAGCAGACGACATTATTGCAGCAGTTTTCGGGGTGAGATAATTACTCGAGGAAAAAAAGAAGTCGTGTTTTTGTTGGGCGATGTGGGGGGTGCGAGAATTGTACGATTGCGAGGATTACGCGAGAAAATACGGTACATGAGGTGTCTTTTATAAGCAGGGTACCTCGTATGCATTTTCTGATCAACCCGTATTTTACTGCAGGCACACTGGTGTCTCTTATACCCGCTCGTCTCTCATATCAGTGTCTCTTATAAAGGGGTTCAACTGTATGTACAGCAAAAATTTGTCCTATGCTACAAAATAACGCCTTTTTTTTCCGAATTGCATCTCGCCTCTAAGACGTTTTACACCATGCCTATTTTTGCACTCTTCTAGAACCATTGTGTGAACTCCCCGCTCGACACATTCAATGACTCAATAAGCATTCAATTGCAAACTTTTAACTGTTCAGTGAAATATGAATTAAGAGGTTTAGTGAAGAATGATGTGAAGTGGTTCACTTGAAGAAAAGGTCTGTGAGCTGACAGGAGTGTATACAACAGAACGACATCTAATAGAGTTAAACAAACCCAACAAACATTTCAATGCACGGTTGAACAGGGCACGTGTGACAGGAACGTAAGCAAACTGCCATCCCGGGAGCGCATCTTGAAGGCAACTACGATGTTGCCTGAAGAGTGTCTGTGGCCGACTGACAAACATGCACTTTCAACAGTAGTTTTTCAGCAGTCCTCTGGTCATGCTATCTTCCCACTTGCTTATAGAGCCTCAGAAATAGAGCTATCACTGAAGTGTCCAAAAGATAAGGTCACGAGTGTATGGTCGATAAAACCTGTAGTCACTCACATCTCATGCATAGGCGCATTGCCATGCAGCCTATGATTTGCAATAATGTTCGTTGATACTTAAGCCCTATGTAACGCATACAGCCCACAACATACAGTATGTATCAAAACGTCAATAGGCACGTTTTGAAGGCTTACCCGCAACAGCGATTCGAACGCTCTCAGCAGCTTCATCACACTCCTCAAGCTCCCGAACCTCGACTTGCCGAGGACCCAGGTGCACAACAGAGGTGATTGGGTACTTCTGCACAGTCAGTTCCACAATTTGATGAGTGGTGTACAACCTTAGTAAAGCACACACAAAGTGTTACTAATGATACCACTAAACACAGTCGCACATAAAGCAGCTTCAAGAAGTTTTTGAGGTTACGTCAGTTACAATATTAATGCCTTCACTATGTGAGCCAGAGAACAAAAAGCTACAAAGCGAAATTTCTACACCTTTGCTATGATGCCAGTTGGTCTTGCATGTATTGATAGTGCTTTACTCAACACTTACAGTTAGCCTAACCAGCAACATTGAAATGGTATTGCATTTTCCAAAATGTGCAGGAACACAGCATAAGAAAAATACTAATTTAATGGTGGTGCATTTTATGCCTCAGTATATCAATAAAAGGGCTGCTGAATACCAGATTTTACTCTTTCTGTTCAATAGCTTGAAGAAACGCACATGCAATTGTGGGACTATTCTGTGCACGTGCATTTGTCTCTAAACTTTTTTATTCACTGCTATGTAAAGTTGTCAATGAGTACAGTGTACCGAGGTGGGGAAGAAGTCACCTTTAGTAAGAATAGCCCCTTGTTAATAAAAAAATTATTAGGAATGAATTTGCACAGCCAAAGAGAAGATACTTCAAAAGATTTAGTGATGGTATCCCATGTACTTTTAATTATCACAAAGTAATAGGCACCTAAGTGACAAAATTATTGCCAATAAGTCTCTAAACATAGAAAACCATGTTTGAGCCCCACAACTGAATTGTTCTGCAGAAGAACTCAGTGAAGCTCAGCCCTCAGTCGGTACTAAATAAAACGGAAGCGTGGTGCTTTAAGTATACGGCTCTAACTCAGAAGCGACCAGGTGCGCACACAACAGAAAATCAATTTTGGGTACCCGAAAGTAGCACACCTAGAGCCATGAAGAACATCACTTACAATAGACTCTCAATAAACGGAACGTGAAGGGACCAGTAAAATGTGTTCCATTTAACAGGAGTTCCGTTTACTCAGAAATGAACAGGCGCACACAATGCAAGAACGAAAACAATCTTGTCAGATGCATTTTTTTACATTTAAGCAACAGTTTCGTTAAACAGATTTCCATATACTGAGAGGCTACTCTATTTAAATCCCTGAATAAAAAGGCCACGAACTAAAATGCCTACCATTGCAATGACAATATTTATTGCTTTTATTTTTTTTTATTGGGACTGTACTAAATTGCTGTCTTAGATTGTCCACCCGTTATAATCCCTCCGGGGTTGACAGTATGTATAGGTAATTGTCTTTCTTTTAATGTACCGCACCATAGAAAATCTTCTGTCATCTGACACAGCATGTTTTGCATTCATGCACAAGACACCACGGTCTGCTGTGACCAACACAAGTTTCCTCTCTCAGTGAGGCAAATGAATGCTTTCAATGAACTTTTGCTGTTCTACATATGTTCCTGCAACCAAGCATAAACATTTTAATGAGTCAGCACCTTTCCAAATTCTTTGGTCTTAACTATTGAAACCCTCATAAGTGCTCTCGATTTCCAGTAGTGTTGATGTGATTGCGAGTCCATAGCTGCCACATCTAGTGAAAAAGTGGTGACATGAAGCCTAAAAAATCTATGCCTCTGCACTTCCTCAGCTTGTTTGTTTGTGCTGACAAACAATTGTTGGGGTTTTACGTCCCAAAACTACCACATGCTTATGAGAGACGCCGCAGTGGAGGGCTCCAAAAATTTTGACCATCTGGCGTTCTTCAACATGCACTGACATTGCACAGTGCAGCGGCCTCTAGCATTTTACCTCCATCAAAATGTGACTGCTGCAGGTGAGATCAAAACGAGCAACCTTCGAGTCACCAGGTAAACATCATAACTGCTACACGACTGCAGCACATATATCCTGGCAAATAGTACCAGAAATAAGTTGGCAAGACTGCAAGTTCAATGAAGCAGTGAAGATTTGCAGCGAAACTATGATTATGATGGCGAAAACCTGTGAGATGTATAAAACTCGGCTGAGAACTCTTTGCAGTTACTTTTGCAGGCAATAGAGATGTGGCGAGCAGATTAAGCTGTGTAGCATGTAAATAAGTAACCTTGTGTTAAGAGTTTATGTAGTTGAAACAAGTACAATTACAAATGAAACCAACATTAGTGTTCTGTCCAGACAGCACAGCAAATCACAGTGAATGTTTGGGATCCCGGGAATATCACTTAAGCAAATCCTAAAGAAACCACAAAGGTATAAGCACTTTGACATAAGTCAATGTCATTCCAACACAAATCCACAACTCTAATGAAAATTTTCAATGTTCTTATCTCATTGGAGTGTCAAAATGCAGTATGAGTATCATGAAACTAAAACCATAAAGGTCTCCATTTCTGTGGATAAGGCCATCGTGTTCAAATTCCTAAACCATGCCCAATAGCCACAGCAATACAGAAAGGCCAAGAAACCTCAATAAATATAGAGAAATTTGTCAGCCTAGTTGTAGTGCACTATCGAGATCTGTGAAAACTTAAGGGAGCATATAAGCTGTAATAAAAAAATTAATAAAGCTTACCTCGTCCAAGCCATAGAAAATTCTTGTTTCACCCTTCTTGAACGAACCTTTGGTCCTGCAAACCAAGCAATTAAAAGTTCAAAAACTACATACTAATATTGTGTAAATGTGAATCATTAAGATAATATTCACAACACAAGATCAATGCACTGTCATTCATTTCATGACCACTGCTTTGATCACATAATATCAACTACCCTGGTTAAACAGAACCTGAAGGAACCAGGAGAATATGTTTCATTTAACAGTAGTTTTGCTTGCTGAGAGACACGAAACCAATATTCTCAGAAGCACTTGTTCTACCTAAGCAGGAGTTCTGCTCGAGAAATTCCCATTGACCAAAAGTGTATAAGTGTATATTTTTAGAGTACCTCTGTGATCCAAATAAAAACTTGAGAGTATAAAACATTTTTTAAAAACCAGGGTACTATCAGACCGTAACGTAACTTAATCAATCAATGCCACATCCATGGGAACAGTGAACATGAGAAATCACAAACTAGCCGTGAAAAATCAATAACATGTAGTATTGTTTACGAAAGATAAAGAAGAGCTAAGGTAGAATGGAGGGGATTTCGACTAGTTCACGGTCATTACACCGCTGCAGTGACCTGTGCCAAGTAGGTTTGATATTCATCTGCCCTAATGCATTGCAGATACACCTTGTTCTCTATGAGTATGCCTGCCATCAATGTTCTTCCCTTGGCAAGCATGTACACTGCTTTTGACCTTTTGATGCAAATTGCAATAAGCTACAGGCGAGGAAGCCCTGCACGTGTGACCAGTCACTGCTGCAACCGGAGACAATGTTTGCATTACTCACATTAATGCACTGCCTGAAATCTATGGATTCTGGAATACTTTGAATGACGAACAGTTCCAGAAACTGTAGAAAAGCGGTGCAAAAAATACACAAGAGCAAAGCAGACACAAATCCTTCAACAGGTGCCGATTTTACAAGAAATGGCAGAGATGATGCAAAAATTTTCGTGCTGAATATGGTCCAATATAGAAGAAATGCTCTGAAGCATTGCCTTCAAATGAAAGAGCTTGTTTGAAATGGCCTCCAAGATTAATGACACTCGGAGGTGCCGCATCCCCAACGTAATGTGTCCCCCGAACCTTTGTCAATGTGACAATGTCAGGTGCACATGTTGCCTGCTTCTGTAGTGCCTGAGGACTCATAACAGGAAAATCTTATTTCTCAGCATCACTAACACTGCTTAAGGGGTACAGGCTTCCTCACTAGCAACAAATTCAGCCAAATTGAAATTTGCTAAGAGCTGGCCCTTAAGATGTTTTGATTTGACATTTGCTTCTATACATATAACAGAAAAAAACGAATCAAAAGCAAAAGGCTACGTAATAACTGCCGAGCTCAAGGAATCTGAATCCACGAGATTTCAGAAACAGGAGAAGGGGGGGGGGGGGGGGCAGGCGCATCAATTTACCTTGCCCCACGTTACACTTTTTTAACACACACATACACACACAAAAAGAAAACTAATATAAGGCGGAAAAGGAGGGACAGGACCCCAATAGCCCTATAAGCACAGAAATCGGTGTTGGGATCTTATATTGCATTGAAAGCCAGGTAAATTTTGCACTCTTTTTACTTCCCATGCTATTATATTGCATTGGTTGAGAGTGGCCAAACTGAATAATGCATGTAGCGGTTTTCCCAACTGCAGTAGAATTTTGGCAATATGGATCTCAAGTACCATGAAAAAAAAAAAACTAGCAATATCTATTTTCAAACCATGATATATGCAGGAAACGCTAAACAATTCGCGTATGTAATCCTGGGACACAGGTCAATGGGCCAATAAAAGACTGTGCAGCTGGCAGCCACGAAAGCGTGTGTCAAAGGTTCACTTAAAGAAAACTGAAAAACAGTGCGCCCTAGTCTGCTCAACCATAGTCATAAGCGAAAATTGACACAAGTGCCAAAAGGATTCATGCCTTTTTACCATTTTATTGAGTTTAATCTACCGCTGCTTTAACTGCGTAACTTTAGAGCTTGTAGTTGCTGTCTATTATAGCGCCGACAGCAACAGTGGTTTCGAGAGCGACAAACGATGCTTCCATTTTCAATCCGTGTGGGCTAGCCCCCCACATACACATTCAAAGCTTCTAGCACACTGCTCTCGACCGTCCCTCAAAGGTTTCGATGCTGATGCTCGTATCACTCCCCCGTGACACGGCAAAGTGTTTAAAGCATCCGTACTTTGGCCCATTAGACACAATGGAATTCAGCTGGAAAATTCCACTTTGGTATCACCAATATTCTACTGCACGTTTATATCAATGCACAGATATCAACGTCTACTAAACTAAAACTTGGATTGGACTGGGTAAAATTTTTGTCAATGAGGTCAGATCACGTTCAGAAATTTTGATTTCCAAGAGATTTTCTTGTGAACTGTACAAACATAAGAAAAGGTCCAATTCTTGGAGTCTCTCAGTGAAATCCAGGAGAGTTCTCAGCATAGCCTGACGAATATATTAGTACTATACGTTCAAAGCAGTCAACCCCAAGCTCATGCCAAAACTCACAATTCGAGAAGGTCAGTCAGCTTGCTGCTGGCGGCAAACTGCTTGGCGCTAGGAGTGAGAACAAAGTCCCCTTCACTGTCCTTATCCTTGTCCTGGTACACCCCAAGAAGGACTGCTTGCCTCTGCAAGGACATAACTATATTCATGGGGGCACAGCAAAACACAAGCACAATGACCTTTCTTAAGCACATTTTAAGACACAGGCTATACTAAAGAGGCCCTGCCACACTTTTTGAGCATAGTTGTAAAACGCTGCCGAACGGCAGTAGGGGCTCTCGAGAACATGCGAGCTAAATATTATAGTGCAGCACGCGGCCTGGGATTCACAATAAATTATCAAAGTTAGCTAAAAATGGCTTTCTCTTCTTTTGACAAACGTCAGTACACGCTCAAAAATCACTCGTGGAATGCCATCTATCAGCCATAGGCTAATTCAAACATGGTGCGCTTGGTGCTGATTTAAACATGGTGCACTTAGTCATTACAGGAATCACCATGAGAGGCCGCGAATTGTCCACACAAGCACGCTAGATCACACTGAAAAAGCCGCATATTGAAAAAAAAAAACAGTGCTCAAGGTCACGATGCGTGCGTGATGTACTTTTTTTTTACTCCTGCCATCCCTGTTGGCTTAGCTTCCAGCGCTTTTGCTGGGACAAGAGAAGGGAGAATGCATTGCAGCGTACAACAAATGTTTATAACTTTGTTCGTTCTGGACGGACTCTTAAAATTCTCGCTGCATTGAATTTGTAAGGCAATAAGTTCTTGTAGTGAATTCATTTCATGATTACCTTGAAAAGTATTTCAGGGACTCTTTAAACACATGATCTATTCAAGAAAGCAGAATGTGCATGCCCCAAAGGTTTCACCACAGACCAATGTGCTGAGACATTTTCATTACCACAGAATCCCACTCCACTTTTCGGTAGACTTGAAATGTGTGGCAATGACAAAGCAAGCCCTCCCCTGCTACATTTTTTTTTCAGCCTGTTCTCAACACTGGAAACCTGGAGCAGTGGTGTCCCTAGAAACCTAAGTTCCATCTGAGAGCTTTTAGTTTTTCGACCTGTGCACAATTTTTCACTACTCTCACAATGTGCTCCCTTGGGGTTGAATTCTCAGTTGTCACAAATCGTCGGAACATATGAAGACAGTTTTCCGGCCCTTGTCATAACACATCAAATTTCACATGAAGATTCTCTGCTGTTAAAAGGAAAAGGTAAATGCATGCATATTCAATAAAGCATTAAGTTAGAAGCATGGTTGTGCATGCTTCTGAGAGGCTATTCCACTGCCATCTTAAATTTCGGTCCACAACCAAGCAAGGGCCCTACCCTGAAATCTTGACCGATTATGTTTCACTGCAGAGGGGGCTTTATGGCATTGAGATGTTATGGTATCAGCCAAAATTAGCCAGCCAGTCCAAACGAAATGAGGTATGTAAAGTTCAAGCTATCTGTGTCACCTAGTGCTTTCACTTTTATCAGCTAAGCATTTTAAACTACACAGAGGGATAAAATAGCACTTCACAATTAACAGTTACCCTTGTACTGCAGCAACCCACTCCACAAGATAGCTATAGTTTTCATTCTCATTGTCTGCAGTCTTTCAACATTCCTATCTTTCACTGAATTATGACTGGTTATTTCCTGCACACATTACATAAGCAGGATAATGAGATTCCTTAGTGTATTTCAACTAGAATATCAGTCATATACATTTACAGGGCCACGTAGCCCCATTATTCTTCTTTAATGCTATGCCCTTTGCATCAGATTTTCACAAGATGTTGTTCATTGTCTACATAACATAAATTTGGCATGAATAGAGATTTGTGCTCATACACGAAGTCTCTACACACACTGACTCAATAATAATAAAATTATCACATGAAATTAGACTCCTACACAAAGTTCATTATTTACTGAATCCTAGTAATTGACAAACATATTCAAAACAAGTGTTTACACCCTGCTGGAACCTGTGGCCACCTTACCTCCATCGTGAAAGCCTCCATAGTGGCATGCCGTGCGCATTCTGGAGCCATTTTACCCGCAAGAAACAAAAAAAGCACCGCACCAGTTGTGTCAACTGACAGGAAGGGGGCGGGAAGACCACTGACCTCAATCTAGACTAGCAGCTGCAATCGAACATTGCCGCTTCTATATTATAGGTGCCGTTCCCCTTCGATGCACAGATAACTTATGTACTGCCAAATTTGTGTATGCACAGCTGAGCCAAAGAACGCTCCACAGTCCCTTTTGTCCTCTCTTTACCCAAGTTATGTTTGCCATTAAAGCCTGAACACAGCCCTTTACTCAAGTTCATAGCCTCATTGTGTACTCTTTCTCCAGCCCTCAGACATACGGCGATCTGGACTCAACAATATGGGTGTTGGAACAATTTGTTCCCTAAGCGAGCAGAAAAAGTCTGCGCATCTTTTTTAGCTACAAAAAGCATGGTAAGAGCTAGAAGAGGAGAGTGTGAGATAAAACAAAAGGGGCTCTCGATTGAAAATGACAAGCTATTACAGATAAGTGTAAGCAATAATAGGATATTAAACTGGCGAGAAATCCAGAGCAATTCAAGTTGACTTGTAACACAGCTGTGCATGCTCAAAAAAAAAAAAAAAACTAGCGAGAAAAAGTGATGAATGCCAGGCTGTCAAGAGGTATATCCAAAATTTGCACAGCTTACAGTGATATGAATGTAGCTGGCCAATAGAAAATGGTGGGGTATATTAAATAATACTGAACTGAAATGGGAAGACATAATTTCAACATAGCTTTATATTATAATTACATACATCAAAAGAAAGAAGAGGAATTTTAAGGGCCCATTTTCGTGGTAGACACAATGTTAGCTAGAACTGACAAATAATAATGCAAACAAAAGTACAGGGGATGCTATTTATAGATATTATCAAATCAATGTGAAAAATGTAAAGTGGACCAAAAAAACAACTCACATTTGCCAGGGAACAAACCCAATTCGAACAATGCCACTTCAGTACCCGCCGGCAGTCAGTTGTCGTTTTGTCCACATTAATCTGTTCAAATTGCTATCATAATTACTACAAATAACATATTCTGCACTCTCCTAGGCACTAGTTTTCATTAGTTCTTATGAATATTACATGCCTTACTAACACAAATTATCCAACTAACACCCAGTGAAACATGTGTACTGCTGCTACTTAAGGAACTCAAATCTCACTAATCAAACACTGAACTACTAACAAAAATATCAATGTGGCATTGTTTCAGCACCGCCCCGACTACTTGAATTCTGCTGGTTTCTAAGACCCACATGGGTTCCGCAAACACAGTTGAAGGTATTGGATGAATGCACGCATAATCCATAACAAGTTACGGTAACCTAAGTATTTAGATACAGTTGTGTGAAATAATGCTGCAAAACATTGGGGCTGTGGTGTTGATAGAACAGTGTTGTAAATTGTCATATATTTTTGTGAAGCAATGCAAGGACCTTGATAGAATTTTTTTTTCATTATTTCAGTTGACAGAAACCAAAGCATGCTGGTCAAGTCTCTAAATGGCTCCCAGTACACCGTGGGCCCTCCTAGCTGGCATTATCTCTAATGTATCAATTGGTAAGACCCTCTTTTATGACCAGTGCCCAAGCAAGCCATAAAGAGATTTTTGGTCCGAGATAAAGGGACCACATGTTTCCAGCAGTGGTGGGCATTTTCAGCTCTGTACATTCTTTTCACAGACCACGGCGTGTGCTGCGCTCTCCGGTAACGCGTGTGCTCGCTGGTGTGTGTGTTCCCTTGTTTTCAACGCCGCACAGACGCCGATCACGTGGTGGTGTCGTGCATGCATCTGTTTCTACGGGGGCTCAAATGGCAGCTCCACGATAAAGTCCTGCAGATCAATTTCGCTGTCTCCTGCCACAAGACGAGGCGATGCCAACAACACCAACTTTACTAACCGCATTTCTGATCCGGACATCCTGCGCACTGTCAACGGATGGAGTTTGCTACAAACTTACTGCTCGTGTAAGTGCCACGCTGCGCCCGAGAATGCTTTCGTACGAACCGAGTAATTTCTCGATACCCTAATAATCTTGCACGGACCGTGAAACATATTCGTTTGCACGAGAGGTACATCTCAACGTCGCATTCTTCTGAACAGTGTCGAATAGTAGACAGCCGCAAGCGCGTGTTTCGCGGATATGTGGCCCATTTGCAGTGCCTTAAACCGTACTCCTTTACGCCTCAACGACGCGTCAGGACGCGCCCAGATCCCGGTTTTCGTTCTTTTATGCACTATCTGCTCTCGTACGCCTGACCCCGCTGTACTTTGCTAACGGCCCGTAGACGTCGCAATAAAGAACGATGCGTGTTCTTCAAATGCAACGGCTGCAGGACGAGAATGACGCGTATTACTTTGACTATTGCACTACGCGAACAATGAGAGGCTCAATCGTTTAGTTACGCGAGAAGAGAATGGAAAAAAAAGAAAAAGAACAACCATCACCGAAGACGTGCACGATCGCGATTACGCAAGGTAAGGCTCTCATAGTCGCGAATGTGCAACCTGTGCACGCCAAACTAGACAACTACCAGCGGTAAATGGGTTTGAATACATGCTTCGAAAGACATTTCAGCTAAAGAATCGTACCAAGTTGAGCAACTGCAACTCGGCACTGATAACAGGCGTGAATCAGCACATTTTTAACGTGCGGTTGACCTCTAGCGTGTAGGATCAGTATCACCTTTGGTCGAAAGACTGAGCCATCATGCGTGGATCGGAACATCGGCCCTGACACATTTATTGTTTTTCCGCGAAAAAAAAAAAAAAACGAGCCGGGAATGCGCAGAATTCGACAGTGGGTGCTACGCGATTTGCGAATTCGCAACCCGAGCACCGACTCGACATGGCTTCGCTTGCGATGCGCTGCGTAAGGCCGACCGTGCGGAATTGTTTTTTCAAGATTTGGCTGAAACCCCTACCTTAGCGGCCATGGCCAGGCTTCTTCGATGTGCTGAGAGGACCGACGAAAGGACGTATGGGTTTGACTTCGAACAGGCTACGGATAAGGAACGCAGGAGCGTGATCATTTATCGGCGGCTGCGCTGTATGTTTGAGAACTTCGTGCTGACAAATGACAATGCGTGCACGGCGGTCGTTGAGATACGAAATCGGTAGTGCCGGAATATTTACCGATTGTGAGAAAACACACACACAAATGCACACTTTAGGCAGCGCAGCAACTATAGTACACTCAAGCACAGCAACAGCACACACGCGATCACTCCACACGACCCGGCACCCGCAACGGGAGCCGGAACCGGAATAAATGGCCGCATGGCTAGTCAGACGGCCATTCACCGGATTTTTCTCATTTCACTTCTCGTTTTGGTTTTCCCATCGTTACGATACAAACCGGCAATAAAGTGTTGGCGTGTTGTTTGAGCTATTCCAAAGCGAGCACTACTCCATCAGCACAAAAGAGAAATTTCTGTCGATCAAACAAATCTCTGTTTCAGAAGTTCCCTTCAGCACTCTGGAGGCTACATACAGGCATAGAGTTTCCCAAAATTAACTAGAGGGCACTCTGGCCGCTGCGATCGTTCAGCGACCACGGTACAGTGTACTAGAATAGAGGCAGTGTCCTCACTGCCCTATCCTTGCGGCGCTCCGCCGTCGCGCACTCTGTGTCGACTTTCACGATGCCCACCAGGGGCGCTGACGCTTGACGCACCTGAAAAACTTCTCTTGGTTCGTGTTGGCCGTGTTGGCGGACGGGGCTGGTTCGCTCAGTTCAGTTCAATCGGTTCGATTGGATCAACGTGGGTACCCCGTGTGCGTGTTCTGTGCTTTATGCTTGGATCATTGTGTAGTATGTGTTCGTGAAGATTCCTAACCGCCGTCGAAATTACTGTTTTGCGCCCGGTTGTCGAACCGGGTACAGTCGTGTGCAGGATGCACCACAGGCGTCTTTGTTCAGCATCCCGCGTGATGAAGAACGGCGGAAGGAGTGAGAAAGAAATCTCCACCGTGCAGATAAGAAACTGGATGAGTTTTCTGCGGTCTGCGAACTGCATTTCTAACCGAGGTTCGTTATCAAGGAGTTCGTGCACCATATAGATGGCAAAGAGGTACGCATTCCTCGTGATAAACCGATGCTGTCGGAAAACTCCGTCCCCACGATTCTTCCAAATTTGCCGCAGTACCTCACGAAGAAGATGCCAAAACCGAGAGCTAAAAGGAAGATGTGCGAAAATGACCATGCAGCCGCAAAGAAAAAGAGCCGAAGTGCTCTCGAGACTGACTGTACTGAATTTCCACGGGCTGCTATTGGTGATTCAGGGGAGGACTGCGACTTCACACAGGATGACGTTCCAGCGGAGCCCGAGCATTGCTTGTCGTTTTGTTATTGTTTAAAGACTCCTTCCAAGTAATGGTGCATATCAATGTGTAAATGTCTCGATTTGCCATTATTCATCCTTTTTTTACCCTAATATTTCTTGTGCAAATTCTTTCATCACTTATTTGTAAATAAACATTATTTCATCAATTTACATGGATTTTTATCATTTCTTTTTAATTTGCTACGTCATTAACTTGATGGATACACGAAATATGAAAATTCAGAGGCAATGAATGGAATGGACTCTGGCAGTGAAGGACAGGAGCGGGTGTAAATCAATGAAAGAGGTCTCCGTCCTGCAGGACCTAACAGGCTGTTGATAATAATGATGCTACGTCTTGTTTACAGCAAGAATCACGCCACACACCAATCATCACCTAAAGTCTCGAAGCAGCGATGCTAGAATGTTAAACGCCGTGCGTGGTTGTCATGGTGGTTAAAGTTTGGGTTTAGGGCGCGCATTCCTGCAGCAGGCACGTAATCAAGAAAAACCCGGCGTGGAGGCTGTCTAAGGCGTTGTACTGTTGAACCCAAGGACGTGTGTTCGATCCTAGCCGCGGTGGCTGTTCTCCTGACGGAGGAGAAAAACGAAACAAGCCGTGTGTCGGCATTTCGGCTGACGTTAAAAATTCTAAAGGGATCTAAATTAACCTGCAGCCCTCCGCTATGGCGCACCTCATAGCGGAAGTGTGGCTTCGGCCCGTTAAACTCCAAAATTTTAATTCTGACATTGCGAAAAAAAAAAGTGCGTAGTGTTTTTCGCACCTCGGAACCGCAGTCGACATGACCGCTGCATTAGCGAAACCACTTTGAACATTTAAACGGCCGGAAAATAATACAATGCCAGTTGCTTCACGCCCTGCACACTGATAAGATGCCCCAAAAGAAGTATCGTGCATTGCATGTCGCGAACGTTGCATAATTTCTGGCATTTCCACAATTGCGCTGTGGCTCTCTACTTCGGCGCGCAAAGGAGTTTCAGGTGACGCTGCGAACCGCGCCGCCTCTCGGCGTCGACACGAAGTGGGTCACCCACCGCCGCCTGTGAGCACACTGCCTCTATTCTAGTACACTGTAGACCACGGGAATGATGGCTAGTACCCAGGAACAATGAACTAGAAGACACTGTAACCAAGGTTACTAGAAAGAAGAATCTAGTAACGTTGGCTAGTACAGAAGTGCCTGCCGGCTTGTCGGCGGTCACTTGGGAAGCGGCGGTCTTCAGAACTATGGTGATGGCGCTACTCAAGTAGGGGTGTCTTCAAATAGGTTTTTACGTTTTTGGAACTTATATGCAACAAAAAGAACTCCAACAAGTTTTAAAAAGGCGTAAACGTAATTATAAGTAACCCTACGTAAGTAACGCTGTCATTCAACAAACAACTTTTTCGTTACAAAGCATCCTCTGAAATTAGCAGCAAACGCCAAAATTGGCTGTCTACGTTGCCTACGTAGGCAGCGTCGCTACAGATGACCAGCGTTTCCGGCTCATCCGGCAGGCACAGGAAATCTAGGACAACGTTACTAGATACTTTTTTCAGTTTGCAAACTGCGGCGCCGCGAGTGTCACCCTTCCCTGTACCGCCGAGAGGGGGCGCGCTTGCGGCTTTTTGGAGCACTTATGGGTTTGTGGAACGGTGGGGGGGGGGGGGGGGGGGGGAAGACACGGTTGGGAGTGGCCTATCTGTGGACAGGGAATGACGCCAGAGAACAAAATGAAGAGTGGGTGGACTGCCTCAGGAAGGACATAAAAAAATTTAAAGAATCTGGCGAGGTGATATTAGTAGGAGATTTGAATGCCCACATTGAGGATCTAGATGGATATACAGACTATAACGGTGCAATGGTTATCGATATGTGTGAAGAACAGCAACTGGTAATAGTTAACCGGAACATAAATGCGACGGGCAGATACGTGGCAAAGCGGCAGTAGACAGTCTTGCATAGACTACGGCCTGGTCTCAGAGCACACGTACGAGCGGTTGAACCAAATGACGATAGATGAAGAAGGAGAAAACAGTCTGGGCAGCGACCACAGGTGTATAATCCTGAAATTTGACAGTGGGGGGGCTAGGAAGAAAACACAGGAGGTTGGGCTCGCGAAAGTAAGCGAAAAGCAGATAGCAGACATCGTCAATAGCATCGAAAGAGAATTAGAAGCACAGCCAACAAAGGTGTGGGAATATGACGCGGTTGTTAGTTGTATACAAAAGGAAATAAACAAAGTAAGGAAAAAAAACCGCTGGAGGGGTAAACGGAAACCACGAAGCTGGTGGGACAAGGAAATTAAACTGGCCATTGAAGAGCGACGACGGGCCTCTTGACTGCCAGAAAAGCAAAGCAAATGGGATATCAGGATGATGAGGTGCAGTTACAGTGGAGCCGGTACCGAGAAAAGAAATTTGAGGTGCAGGAACTAGTACAAGCGAAGATTAAAGCTGCGAGTGAGAAATGGGTATCAGACATACGTAAGAAGGATAAGAGTGCCCCCCAAAAATTCTGGAACCATTTAAAAGCATTGGGAACGACGACTAAAGAGATGCAGACTCAAATACAGGACGGGGACGGTAACGTTCTCCTGGGGGACAGCGCATTAGAATACCTACATGGAGTCATAGGAAATACTTTCGGCCAAGCACGCGAAAGGTCGGCTAACTGGACACAGGTGGCAAATAAAAGAGTGGCAGATGAAAAATTTAATATCAAATTTTTGGACTGGAAAAAGGCAGAACACAGTGTTCCCAAAAGTACGGCAACAGGACCGGATGGAATCCCGATAGAGATTATCAACCATTTGGGACCAGCGGGACAGGCGCACTTGTATGGAGCCATCGAGCGCGCTATGAAATCCAAGAGGATTCCTTCGCACTGGCGCGAAAGTAGAATGAGTTTGATCTACAAAGGCAAGGGAGAAAGGGACAAGGCGAGCTCTTACAGGCCGATTACAGTCACGTCAGTGCTCCATAGATTAGCTATACAAGCCATCAAAGCCGAGTTGTTGAATTGGGTTGAAAGTAACGGTATTTTAGGGGAACTGCAAAATGGATTTAGGCCGGGTCGACGCTTGGAAGACAATCTTTTCGTCATATCCCAGACCATCGAAATTTCGGCAGCACAGGGCAGACCAACATGGCTACTGTTTCTGGACATAAAGGGTGCCTATGACAACGTGGACAGGGGATTGCTGTGGCATATACTGGAAGAGGAGGGGATTGGGTCGGAATTTGTGGGGCTGCTAAGGGCAATATATGAGGATAACAAGGCACACATTACATGGGAAGGGCGTACATACACAGAGCCCGTGTACATTCGAAGAGGTTTAAAACAGGGGTGCCCTCTTTCGCCATTGCTGTTCATACTGTACATTAGAGGAATGGAAAGACGACTAGAGGAGAGTGGATTGGGCTTTGATTTGTCACACCGAAGCAATGGAGTGTTAGTGGAGCAACGGATTCCGTGATTGATGTACGCAGACGATATAGTGCTGCTGGCGGATAATGCGGAAGAACTTCAAAAACTGGCTGACATTTGTGGGGATGAGGCAACGTACCTAGGCCTACATTTTAACTCACAGAAATCTGGAGTCGTGGTGTTCAACGAGGAAGCTCATGTAGCACCAATAAGGATACAACAGGATGCCATACCATTAGTAAATAAGTACAAATACTTGGGGATCTGGCTTAATGAAGGAAAAGGCTACCTGAATGCTCATGAAGAACACCTCAAACTGAAAGGGAGACGAAATGCAGCAGTAATGAAACATAGAGCACTTTGGGGATACAATAAGTACGAGGTAGTACGAGGCACCTGGAAAGGGGTAATGGTGCCGGCGCTCACGTTCTCTAATGCCGTATTATGCTTAAAGTCAGATATCCTGTCGGGGCTGGAGGTTAACCAAAAGGCAGTC